TTGTTCCAAATGTGGTCCAGTAAATGGAAATACATCCTGCATATCAGATGTTTACATGACAATTCATAACAGTAGCAAAATGACAGTTGTGAAGTATCAATGAAAATAATGTTATGGTTCTTTCTCCCACCCTGGACATCATTCCACAGATATGTAAACCTCCCTTGCCTAGTTTCCAACAGTTCCCTCAACCTCTAAGGGTGCCTGCTATAGATGCGGGCGAAACGTCAGAAGGGAATGCTTCTAGAAAATGGCCAGGCAGCCCAGAAAACTCACAGCAGATCAGTGATTCTGGCCATGAAACATTCGACAAAATTGTGTGCTACTTTGTAAGCTGACCTGAATCCCTATTGGGAGTGGCGGGGTATAAATAATAATAATAATAATAATAATAATAATAATAATAATAATAATAATAATAATAATTATTATTATTATTATTGATATGTGGGATTTTCTCTTCCTGGTTTTCTGGTACTCCAGGATATATAGAAATTTCCTGCCATTTCTTGAAGTTTGGAAGTAATGTATTACTTGGGAATAAATAATTTTAGCTATGTGTTGGAATGGTGTTACTTTTTAGCTTGTAATGGCTGGCATGTAATCCAGTGGGTTTTAGGGTAGCGTAATGGCATTTATTACCTCTTTCTTATAGCAAAAGATGCTCTCTTTCAGTCTGAGCAAATAACCTACACGGCAATAGATAACGACAGGTTTGTAGTAATCAGTAATGTAAATAACCTTGAAAAAGCAAGATTCTAAGCTCTGCCTTTTGGTCCCAGATGTCGGCCTGCCTAGTTGCCTGTGCTGTTGTTACTCTTAGACTAGAATCCTCTTCTTCTCTTGTGTTTCTGAGCAAGTCGGCTTTAAAGGTCAAAGAGACTTCATCGAATGCCACTGCTTGCTCTTGGCGTACCTTGACTTTCCGTGGGAGTAGCTAAATCAGTGGGAGACAATAAGTACATGTGCGTGCGTGGAAGTCTTCAACCCAGTAGTTATTGATCATCTTGTAAAGTTGTAAAGGTCCATTACGCTTGTGCATCATTACATGTGGTGGTTGTCGTGTGCCATCAAGTCATTATGGCAACCTGTCGTGATGCTTCAGAGGCTGAGAGAGTGAGACTCACCCAGGGTCACCCACTACATTTCCATGGTGGAGCAGGGATGTCGTAATCCAGTGCTTAAAACACTATGTAACACTGGCTCACCCTTTGATGTTCATTATCATCATCATTACTGTTGTTGTTGTTGTTGTTTGATACATAACAAGATGATTACACAACAAACAAGATCACTCTGCTGGCTGTTGTATTCGATCACACATCGGACACTTCCCAGGTATCTAGGACTGTGTGATGTATCAGTGAATAATGCGTGCAGATCTGAGTAGGGTGGCCTTTTGCAGCCGACAGGTGGTAATTTTGTCAGCGCTGATTGTGTTTAAGTGCAGGCCAAGGTCTTTAGGCACTGCACCCAGTGTGCCCATCAGTACTGGGACCTCCTTGAGTGGTTTGTGCCAGAGTCTTTGTTGTTGTTATTGTCGTTGTCATTATTATTGTTCTTCTTATTGTTATTATTGTTATTGTTATTATTTGAAACACAACAAGATTAGTACACAGCAAAGATCACTATGCTGGTTGTTGTATTGGATCACACATCACACACTTCCCAAGTGTCTAGGTCTATGTGATGAATCGGTGAATAATGCATGCAAATCCGAGTAGGGTGGCCTTTTGCATCTGACAGGTGGTAATTTTGTCAGCGCCGATTGTGTTTAAGTGCAGGCCAAGGTCTTTGGACACTGCACCCAGTGTGCCCATCACCACTGGGACCACTTTGAGTGGTTTGTGCCAGAATCTTTGTTTTTGTTGTTTTTATTATTGTCATTGCCATTATTATTGTTCTTCTTATTGTTATTATTGTTATTGTTATTATTTGAAACACAACAGGATTAGTACACAGCAAAGATCACTGTGCTGGTTGTTGTATTGGATCACACATCACACACTTCCCAAGTGTCTAGGATATGTAATGAATTGGTGAATAATGCGTGCAGATCTGAGTAGGGTGGCCTTTTGCAGCTGACAGATGGTAACTTTGTCAGCATTGATAGTTTTTAAGTGCAGGCCGAGGTCTTTAGGCACTGCACCCAGTGTGCTGATCACTGCTGGCACCACCTTGAGTGGTTTGTGCCAGAGTCTTTGTTGTTGTTCTCACTATTATTGACATTGTCATTATTATTGTCGTTATTGTTATTGTTGTTGTTGTTATTATTATTATTATTATTATTATTATTATTATTATTATTATTATTGGAGCCCATGGTGGTGCAGTGGGGTTAAGCCCTTGTGCCAGCAGGACTGAAGACCAACAGGTGGGAGGTTTGAATTCGGGGAGAGCATAGATGAGCTCCCTTTGTCATCTCCAGCTCCCCATGTGGGGTCATGAGAGAAGCCTCCCACAAGGATGGTAAAATGTCAAACAACATCCGGGCAACATTCCCTGGGCAACGTTCTTGCAGATGGCCAATTTTCTCACACCAGAAGCGACTTGCAGTTTCTCAAGTCGCTCCTGACATTTAAAAAATTGTTACCATTGTTGTTGTTGTTGTTATTATTATTTTTAACCGCCTTTCATTTGTGGGTATATATTGAATTGACTATTTACTGCGAGGTGCAAATTCCCCTCCGGTATCCCCATTGTGGGTCAACTCTGTGATCGGTTCATCCCAAGTGCATCATTTTGATCAACGAATGGCAAGCGATCACTCTTATGGGAGAAAATGAAGGCTGCGCTTCTTTTCACTGGACTGGTGTGACGAGCAAACTTTTTTCCTCTCTGTTGTATTTTGTGGCCGTATTCTCGCGTGACAGCTTTCAGTTGGTAGGGAGCATAAGCCAGCAAATGAGAAACCACTGTGAATGGTTCCCCCCAATATTGATTTGGGCTGTGAGCATCTTCTGCTCAAATCCAAGGTACTCAGAAAGCAGGTCTCTGTTCCAGGCAGGCTGCGACTTAAAATATAGTCACTTGGGAGATGAGAATGCTGTCGTCTCTTATTACTCGAGCCCATGAATTGTTTACAGAAATCTATTTTTCCACATTTCTGGTAAAGCATCCCTGTTAAGATTACCTGTCTGAACATATCTCCCTCTATGTCCCACCTTGGAGTTTAAGATCTGTGGAGGCCTTGTTCTCAGCCCCACCTCTGGCAGGGACAAGGGACAGGGCCTTCTTGGTGGTGGCCCCCTGCCTGTGGAACTCACTCCCCAGCAAAATCAGGTCAACTACATCCCTCCTCTCCTTTAGGAAGAAATTGAAGACGTGGTTGTGGGACCAGGGTTTTGGGTAGCACGCTGATAATGACAACAACAATGATGATAATACTATGGAAAATGGACTATGGACAGGCTTCTGATTGTGTTGTTCACAGAATTCGATTCTAGATAAGGCTAGAAAGCCAGCAGTATTACCGTATATAAGCCGACCCGAATATAAGCCGAGGCACCAAATTTTACCAAAAAAAAACCCTGGGAAAACGTATTGACTCGAGTATAAGCCGAGGGTGGGAAATGCAGGAGCTACTGGTAAATTTCAAAATAAAAATAGATACAATACAATTACATTAATTGAGGCATCAGTAGGTTAAATGTTTTGAATATTTACAAAAAACTATAATTTCAGATAAGACTGTGGAACTCTAATTAAACTATTATTCTAACCTTCTTCAATGTGAATGTGCTTGCAAATAAAAGTAGAGTAAAATAATAAATGTAATAATACTACTACTACTAATAATAGAGTAAAATAATGGAAATGTAATAATAACAGTAATAATAGAGTAAAATAATAAATATAATAATATGAATACTCATAATAGAGTAAAATAATGGAGATGTAATAATAACAGTAATAATAGAGTAAAATAATAAATGCAATAATAAAAACAATAATAAAGTAGAATGATCAATGCAACAACAACAACAACAATAATAATAACAATACATTTATTACGTATTTCTAATAAGGTAAAATAATAAATAACCTTGACTCAAATATAAACCGAGGGGGACTTTTTCAGCCTAAAAAAAGGGTTGAAAAACTAGGCTTATACTCGAGTATATACAGTATTTTAAATGGATTTAATTTTAAACTAATGTAATGTATCACTTATATGTAATACGTGCTTGTTCCAGTGTGCCTTTCCAGAATAATGAATTTCTCAGCAATATGCCCTCAAAATGCACTTTATTATTGATTTAGGATTGATTGATTTGCACGCCCTATCCCCTCCGAAAATTTCCATCTCAGTTATATCCTACCTTGCTCATGCCCAGCATTGTTTTGTAAATTTTAATTTTGCCCAGCCACAGGTTTTAAATGCTTGTTGTGTTACTTTACTGCTTATATTTTATTTTATTTTTGTTTATGAGATGTATTTTAACTGTTTTGTATTGTTTGTTTGTTTGCTATTGTTTTATTATTGATGTATTGTGGGCTCGGCCTCATGTAAGCTGCACCGAGTCCCTTGGGGAGATGGTAGCGGGGTATAAATAAAGATTATTATTAATATTAATAATAATAATAATAATAATACTGTATTATTATTTTGTATGTGGGGGAATTGAATTGTTGCCGACTGTAAGCTGCCCTGAGTCCACCTGCGAGGGTTGAGAAAGGCAGGGTACAAATGTTTGAAATAATAATAATAATAATAATAATAATAATAATAATAGCTGGGAGTGACTTGTCTGAAGCTGTTGGGAAAGCCAGAGTTAATCAGCCTGATTTGGAAGGAACATTGCCTGCCTTACAAGAAGGCTGCTTCCTATTTTCATGTTCTAAGACGACTTGGATGTACTCCTAACTGTAGCGTACGAAGTGGCCCTTAAGCAAACGCTGGTATTTACTGGCTGTATTATTGATAGCGTTTTCTCCCTGGCACCTTTCGAGAAAGCTTGATCTTAACCTTTTTTTTCCTCCCCTCTCCATCCTTGCAGATGAGGAAGATGGTGTATGGGAGAATGGGCTTTCCTACGAATGCCGTACGCTGCTTTTCAAAGCAATTCACAACCTGGTGGAAAGATGTCTAATGAACCGGAACTTTGTGCGCATTGGGAAATGGTTTGTGAAGCCGTATGAGAAAGATGAAAAACCTGTAAATAAAAGGTAAGATACGTTGTTGTTTTACCCCCCCTTTCTACTTCCTCCCTTTTGCTTTAGGATAATGGTTATTTGTTTTGCAGCAGTAATAAAGCAGGTTGAACGGATTCTTCGTTGTTTGAGTGCAGATTTCACGTGGTGATAGAATTGACTTGCATATGTTTGCTGTTTCCTCAAAGAGAATCTGCCTCCACAGCTATTCTTGGACTGAAATGGCTCATTTTCATTTTCGCTGCTTCTAATACTAGTGGAGCCAGCATTATGTTTTAGACCAGTGTTTCTCAACCTGGGGGTTGGGACCCCTGGGGGGGTCGCAAGGGGGCTCACGATAGACCATCAGAAAATACAGCATTTTCTGTTGGTCATGGTGGTTCTGTGTCCCAAGTTTGGTTCAATTCTGTTGTTGGTTAGGTTCAGAATAGTCTTTGGTTGTAGGTGAACTATAAATCCCTGCAACTACAACTCCTAAATGACAAGGTCTATTTCCCCAAACTCCACCAATGTTTACATTTGAGCATATTGAGTATCCATGCCAAGTTTGGTTCAGATCCATCATTCCTTGAGTCCACAGCGCTCTCTGGATGTAGGCGAACTACAACTCCAAAATTCAAGGTTAATGCCCACCAAACCCTTTGAGTATTTTCTGTTGGTATTGGGAATTCTGTTTTCCAAGTCTGGTTCAATTCTATCGTTGGTGGTGTTCAGAATGCTCTTTGATTGTAGTTGAACTGTAAATCCCAGCAACTACAACTCCCAAAGGTCTATTTTCCCCAAACTCCACCAGTGTTCATACTTGGGCATATTGAGTATCCGTGCCAAGATCAATGCCCACCAAACCCTTCTAGTATTTTCTGTTGGTCTTGGGAGCTCTGTGTGGGAAGTTTGCCCCAATTCTGTTGTTGGTGGAGTTCAAAATGCTCTTTGATCGTAGTTGAACTATAAATCATAGCAACTACAATTCCCAAAGACCTATTTTCCTCAAACTCTACCATTTTGGCATATTGAGTATCCATGCCAAGTTTGGTCCAAACCCATCATTGTTTGAATCCGCAGTACTCTCTGGATGTAGGTGAACTACAACTCCAAAACTCAAGATCAATCCCCACCAAACTCTTTCAGTATTTTTTGTTGATCGTGGGAATTCTGTGTGCCAAGTTTGGTTCAATTCCATCGTTGGTGGAGTTCAGAATGCTATCTGATTTTGGGTGAACTATAAATCCCAGCAACTACATCTCCTAAATCATGCAATCAATTACCCCCCAACCTCACCAGTATTCAAATATGTCGTGTTGGGTATTTGTGCCCAATTTGGTCCAGTGAATGAAAATATAATGTAATACAATATAATACTAATAATAATATGATATTATAACTATATATTTTACATTACATCTACTGTTGCTATCGTCTTCTGGTACTGATCTTGTGACTCCAGAAGTCCCAAGGCCCCATAAAGACTGAAATAATATAATAATATAATGTTATGCTAATAATATAATATATTGTATATACATATCATATTTGTAATATTATAATGTAATACAACATCTTAATAATATGATTTTATAATTATATATTTTACATTACATGTAATATTACAAATAATATTACAATATAATGGTATAGTACAATACAGTAATATATAATACTGATATTGTACTATAATACTGATATTGTAATATATTGAACAATATAATGTTATAGTACAATACAGTAATATATCATACTGATATAGTACTATGCCGATAATATAATATATTGTATGTATATATATCTTGTAAGCCGCTCTGAATCCCCTTAGAGGTGGAAAGGGTGGCATAGAAATGCCGTAAATAAATAAATAAGTAAATAAATAAAATACACCCTGTATATGAGATATTTACAGATGCGCTTCATCCACTGCCTTCCATGCATTTTCCCAGCTTGTAGCGCTATCGAAAAAAGAGATCAAATTAATGTATTGTCGAAGGCTTTCGTGGCCGGAATCACTGGATTGTTGTGAGTTTTTCGGGCTGTATAGCCATGTTCCAGAAGCATTCTCTCTGACGTTTTGCCTGCATCTGCCACAGATGCACGCGAAACGTCAGGAGAGAATGCTTCTGGAACATGGCCATACAGTCCGAAAAACTCACAACGACCCAGAGATCAGATTAGCCTGACTAAGACCTAAAGGCTGACAATGGAGTGGAAAAATTCACTGTGGATCAGAAGCACATTCTAGACTCAACAGGAAGGACTTTCTCAGAAATACAATTTTTTTTACTTGAAAATGCATGAGCACATTCCATCTTCGTCCTAGTTTTAAGGTCAGTTCCAGGTCTTGCTGTGGAACGGAGAACCTCAGCCTCTTTGTTCTCCTTGGAGATCAAAGCAACGAGACCTAAAACAACAAAAACACACTCCGTTGTGCTTTTTAAACTCTATTTATTTCCTTATTTTCCTGCAAGGTTGTGCAACGACTCTTCCTCAAATGTACAATCCTGTTGCTTTAAAAAACACCGCACTTTGAGCAATACCCTTTGTGTCTAGGAATCTTAGAAACTTTCTTGGCTTCAAAACTTCTTTCCCCCCTTGTCCCTGAATCTAGGCTACTTGTGATGACTTGGTGCTTCTGGCTCACCCAAAAGTATATTTCCAAATATATGCTTTTTTAAAAAAGATTGATTATTTGAAAAGATTTTCCATAACTGTATGTTTAATTTAAATTGATATGCTAACGGTTTAAATTGCTATATCATGTTTATTATTATATGTGTAATGCGGCATTGTATGCCAAGGTGAGCAGGGCAGGGTATAAATATAATATAATAATCATCATAATCATAATAACAACAACAACAACTTGAAACTTGAGTTCCCAAAGGCATGCAACAGAGATAATTTAAAACTCATAGAAGCATAGGTAAAGACTTTCCCCATACATTATAATATTGATCGTAATATTGTAATATAATATAATGCTAATAAGAATACAATATATTAATATAATAATCATATTATATGTAATATTACTAATAATATTGCAGTATAGTACAATATAGTAATAAATTTATATTTCATATTACATGTAATATTACTAATAATATTGCCGTATAGTGGTATAGTACAATATCGTAATGTATAGTACTAATAATGTTCTGTGGTAATAATATAATATATTGTATACACATATAATATATCTGTGGCTGGATGGCTCTTTGTCAGGACGGCTTTGATTATCTTTTCTTGACATGGTGAGGGGAGTTGGTCCAACCTGGGGTTTGGGACCACTGGGAAGGGGGTCTTGTGGGGGTGTCATAGTATTTTCTGTTGGTCATGGGGGTTGTGTGTGGGAAGTTTGGCCCAATTCTATTGTTGGTAGGGTTTGATTGTAGGTGAACTATAAATCCCAATAACTACAACTCCCAAATGTCAAGATCTCCACCAGTGTTCACATTTGGGCATATGGAGTATTCGTGCCAAGTTTGATCCAGATCCATCATTGTTTGAGTCTAGTTCTCTCTGGATGTAGGTGAACTGCAACTTCCAAACTCAAGGTCAATGCCCACCAAACCCTTCCAGTATTTTCTCTTGGTCATGGGAGTTCTGTTTGCCAAGTCTGGTTCATTTTCATCATTGGGGGGAGTTCAGAATACTCTTTGATTGTAGGTTGAATATAAATCCCAGCAACTACAACTCCCAAATGTAAAAATCAATTTTTTTGAGTGATGGTCACTCCTTGCGTTATTAGGTGTCTTGTGGCCATGTTTGGTGTCAATTGTTAATTCCACAAATGAACATTTCATTTTTATTTATATAGGTGTCATGTTCTGAGTCCCCTTTGGGGTGAGAAGGGTGGCAGCTAACTGCCATAAATCAATCAATCAATCAATCAATATTATTATTTGAAACACAATAATAAAATATTATTAATAATAATACCAACATTGAGGGAAGTCAATAGTAGTAAACTGCTTCAAGTGCAAAATACAAAGAGGGAATACCGTCAAAACACGATCCAGAGCAGAAGAGAAAACTGTCCAAAGAAGGCTCGCCATGGACAGTTTCTGGCAAAACTTGAGAGCCAAATTGACAAAGAAAAATCATGGCTGTAGCTCATAAATGGGACTCTGAAAAAGGAGACAAAGGAGGGCCWGATTCTGGCAGCCCAAGAACAAGCCATTCGAACCAAGGCCAACAAAGCCAGAATTGAAAAGTCGACAACAGATCCCAAATGTAGACTCTGTAAGGAAGCAGATGAAACAATAGATCCCATCCTCAGCTGCTGCAAGAAGATYGCATAGACAGACTACAAGCAGAGGCACAACACTGTTGTTCAGATGATTCATTGGAACYTGTGCCACAAAYACCATCTGCCTGCAACAAAGAACTGGTGGGATCACAAGCCGGAAAGAGTTACGCCAAACTCCTCTGGGACTTCCGGATTCAGACTGACAAGAGTTTTGGAGCATAATACTCCTGACCTCACAATCGTGTTAAGAAACAAAGTATGGATTGTCGATGTCGCAATCCCAGGTGACAGTAGGATTGCAGAGAAACAACTGGAAAAGCTGACATGATATGAAGATTTAAAAATCRAACTGCAAAGACTCTGGCACAAGCCAATAATAACAATAACAATAAGAAGAACAATAATAATAATGACAATGACAATAATAATAACAACAACAAAGACTCTGGCACAAACCACTCAAGGTGGTCCCAGTGGTGATCGGCACACTGGGTGCAATGCCTCAAGACTTTGGCCTGCACTTACACACAATCGGCACTGACAAAATTACCATCTGCCAGATGCAGAAGGCCACCTTACTGGGATCTGCACGCATTATTCGCTGATACATCACACAGTCTTAGACACTTGGGTAGGGTCCGACGTGTGATTCAATTCAGCAGCCAGCAGAGTGTCTGCTGTGGACTCATCTTGCTGTGTTTCAAATAATAATAATAATAATAATAATAATAATAATAATAATAATAATAGCAGGATTGCAGAGAAACAACTGGAA